ATGAGGAACTGCTCTTGCATACAACTTAAACACATTCTTGTGTCCAGCAGAGGGAGCTACAAAGTTGTTTATATTCCCAGTTCCCACCTGCCTCTGTGTCTCATTAACTTTGCACAGATACCAGCTCAGGCAATATGTTTATGTGATTCTGAGCCTGTTGATGTGGATATATGTGCATGTCAGCCACAGTGATTTTTTTTTTATGTATATGTTTGTGTTTCCCTTAGGCAGAGACAGAACTGAGGATAGCACAGAGTGAGTTTGACCGGCAGGCCGAGATCACCAGACTTCTGCTGGAGGGTATCAGCAGCACACATGTATGCTCACACATCCTTTGTGTCTATCAGTGTTTCCTCCTGCAGCACCACAGCAAAAAGAAATGATGCTTTACCCAAGTTGAAGGGATACTTCTGTCATCATTTACTCACCCTCATATTGTTCCAAACCTGTATGACCTTTTTTGATCACCAAGACGGTTTGTTACCAACATTCTTTAAAATATCTTCTTTTGTGTTCAGCAGAAAAAAGAAAGTCATACAGGTTTAGAATGAAATGAGGGTGAGTTAATGATGACACAACTATTCCTTTAAGCTTTTACAGTTTAAATTGAATGTGGTGGGTGTTGCAAAATAACATCAAACACTCATCAACAAGCAAATAGCATGACTAGTATACAAATGAATGACTTTTATGAGCCTGTTCTTTTAACGAATCACTCATTTAATGAATCAGTCAAAAGACTCATCCTAATGAATGATTTCTTATGGGCCTGTTCTTTTAATAAATTGGTAATTTAATGTATAAGTCAAAAAGGTCATTCTTTGAATCAGTTCTAATTAATGGTTCTTATGAGCCTGTTCTTTTAATGAATCAATAATTTAATGAATCAGTCAAAAGACTCATTCTTTGAATAACTTTTAATGAATGACTCTTATGAGCCTGTTCTTTTAATGAATCAGTCAAAAAGGCTTATTTTTTTAATCAGTCTTGATGACTGACTTCTAACAGCCTGTCATTTAATGAATCCGTCAAAAGTCTCATTCTTTAAATCAGCCTTCAATCAGTTATTCTTATAGGCCTGTTATGAGCCTGTTCTTTTAATGAATCAGTCAAAAAGGCTTATTTTTTTAATCAGTCTTGATGAATGACTTCTAACGGCCTGTCATTTAATGAATCAGTCAAAAGACTCATTCTTTGAATAACTTTTAATGAATGACTCTTATGAGCCTCTTCTTTTAATGAATCAGTCAAAAAGGCTTATTTTTTGAATCAGTCTTGATGACTGACTTCTAACAGCCTGTCATTTAATGAATCCGTCAAAAGTCTCATTCTTTAAATCAGCCTTCAATCAATTATTCTTATAGGCCTGTTATTAATGAGTCAGTCTAAATTAAATACTTTATGAATTTGTCAGAACAGATCCGACTGGTTTTAAATACAAACATTTAAAAAGGCTTTAAATATGTTAGGATTACTATGCATTCGTGACTAATTATAGATTCTGGGAAACACTGCTGTATACAATCATGTACATTTTATGTATGTAATATGTGCTGATGGCTGTGCTCTCCTCTTTGTGATCAGGCTCATCATTTGCGCTGTCTGAATGATTTTGTGGACGCTCAAGCTGCATATTATGCCCAGTGTTACCGGTACATGGTCAATCTGCAGAAACAGCTGGGAAGGTTGGCTCACTTTTATATCTCTGGGCATTTGTTTGTAATATTTATGCATTTTTTACACCAAATCCTCTGTTTTATGCTAAATGCATCCGTAATGGAATCATCTGTTCTCTCAAACAGTCAAAATGCAATGTAAGCAATGTTTTTTTAATTCCTTGATAAATGTATATACATATGTGCATTTCTATGTTTTAACTGTTTCCATATTTCTTCCAGCTTTCCATCCACATTCTCTAATAACAATCAGCAGGCTGGCAGCTCCTCTGCCAGCATCTCAGTTCCCACGGCACAGCCAGCCGCCTCACTGCCCGTTCCGCCGCCCAGCCAGGCCTCACCCGCACTCAACGAGCTCCGCAGCACCTCAGGCACCCGCAAGGCTCGTGTGCTCTACGACTATGACGCTGCCAGCAGCAGTGAGCTCTCTCTACTCGCCGATGAGGTGGGCCTTCATCATGTCATTTCAAATTGTCATAAAATGAATTATTATTTGTCTTAATGGTCAAATATTTCCCCGTCAGGTGATCACCGTGAGCAGTGTGCCGGGCATGGACACTGATTGGCTGATGGGGCAAAGGGGGAATCAGAAAGGCAAAGTGCCATTTACCTACTTGGAGCTGCTCAATTAAGGTCAGCGAGAAGTGCAAAAAAAATTCACATTGTAGATGTGATTTGACAAGAGTAACACTCCAGATGTGATCAGAGAAAGATCAGAGTTTAATGTAGCGCAAAGCAATATAAAAGTCTTCTACACTGCCATGTCATGTTGTGTGAACGTCTCCTCTGCCATTTGAGGGGCGTCATAGTAGCCTTACAGTAACGAAAAGCAGTCCAAGATTGCCAACTATTCAGATTTATGTGCCAACTGAATTTTTTACAGCTAAACTAATTGATTTTGCTATAATGTGCTATGATGCTCTAATAAATATTATATAAACCTGGTTGGTGCAGTTTGAGATCTTTCATTTATCTTAAAAAAAAAAAAAAAAAAAGTGTTATGATTGTCTTGTTTCAAGGTCACAGACCAAGCTGCACACACTGGCTGCTAATTTTGAAAACCACCATAGTAACAGTAAACTGATATGCTGGCATGAATCTTTACCACTGGGTGGCAGTATTTTCAATTTGTGAAGATGAAAATGTAAACACTGCAGCTAAAATCTACTAACATACCTCTTAATAATGGTGCAGAGTGTAATTTCACTGTAGTGGCGCCAAACAGAACCAGAACTGCAAAAATAGTGACTGTGTGGAAACAGTTTCCAAACACTCCCTTGTCTGGGCAAAAGCTGTGTTATTGTTAACTAAAATTAAAACTTAAAAAAAAAATTCAAATTAAAAACTACTCCACTAAACTAAATGTTGCCTTGGCAACTAACTGAAATAAAGTGTTTTAGTAACATACACACACACACACAAATATATACAGGTATGTGTTGGTGTTGGTCCGTTGTGTTTTTTGAAAACCAACGTCACTGCACCCGTTTACCAAGAAATTTTGGAGCACTTCATGCTTCCTTCTGCTGACCAAGAAGTTAAGAGACTTACGTTTTAGACCGTTTTACGTTTTATCGATAAAATCCCAGAAAATATCGAGATATTTTTTGTCAGTATTGCAAACCCCTAATTTGTTATTTAATTTAAATAATAATTGTTTAAATTAATATAATGATTAATACTTTCGACTCCCATTTTCTTAAAAATGGTTTAAAGGCTAAAATGTAAAGTTTATCATTTTATAAAACACACACACACACACATAAAACTAATAAGAATGACAAAAACACACAACAAAATTAATAAAATTAAAGTGATAGTTCACCCAAAAATTAAAATTCTGTCATTTGCTCACTCACCCTCACGTTGTTCCAAACCTGTATGATTTTCTTTCAACTCTTGAACACAAAAGTGTGTGTGTGTGTGTGTGTGTGTGTGTGTATATATATATATATATATATAAGAATTTTAGTAACCAAACAGTTTACTATTGTAGCAATTGACTTCAATAGTATGGAAAAAATATATATCTTCTTTTGTGTTCAGCAGAAGAAAGAAAATCATACAGGTTTGGAACAAGTGGAGGGTCTTTTAAAGGATGGCATTGTTTTCATTTTTACATTAACATTTTGTCTTTTAGCAGACGCTTTTATCCAAAGCGACTTACAAATGAGGACAATAGAAGCAATCAAAACTAACAAAAGAGCAACAATATATAAGTGCAAATGAGCTAGTGTTAGAGGCCTTTTTTTTGCTTTTGTTAATTATATAATAAATAAAAAGAAAAATAGATAGAATACAAAAAAGATTAGAGAAGCTAGTGTTTTTTTTTTTTAAGAAAACAAGCAGTTAGTAAATTATTGGTGCGCAAGTCTAAAAGGGGCAAGTTTTTTTTGTTTTTTTTTAAAGAATAGAATTAGAGTAGAGAGTGCTAGAGTTAGAGGGTCAAATAAAGAAGGAAGAGATATGTTTTTAGCCGATTCTTGAAGATGGCTAAGGACTCATCTGCTCGGATTGAGTTGGGCAGGTCATTCCACCAGGAGTGACGTGCATTCTTTTCGGGCTCGTTAAAGACTACTCTTGCTGCCGCGTTCTGGATTAATTGTAAAGGTTTGATAGAACTGGCTGGAAGACCTGCCAAGAGTGCACTGCAATAGTCCTGCAGTATAATTACTGCAATAGTAATTATATAAATAATTCTAAAATAACAATGGTTAGGCTGCTCTTTGGGAAATACAACCTACTTATAGTTCTTATAGTCCTTGCACATTAAGCTGGAATAGAAAGTATTTCAACAATAAAAATGTTAAACATCAGTTTTATGCTCCCCAGATGTCAGATTCATTACACTTACAAATGCTTTTTATTAACATACTTTGTTTTGTGGTCAAAGATAATCATACATATCCGTCAAACATATTCTTTAATTTAACAGTACCATTATCTATCAGAATGACAGAATATTGAGAATTTTATTTTGTTTGAAAATGTCGAGTTTCACAGCAAATTCATGCAACCCCCATCACAATAACTAGGTTGTGTTTGGAATGGCACTTCAAAGTGAAGTTCGTTACAGGGGAGTCATTTAGGCAGCAGAATCAAATGAGCACATACCGTACATGAAACACTCATCTGAAACGGTGAGTACCGATGGGACGTCGTCTAAGTTTCATTTTAGAGGCTTCATGAGGAGAAAGTTGGGAGAAGTTGATAGTTGCATACACAGACTGACGTGATATCGACGGACTTCGAGTGACGGCCTCCAGGAAGTGAATACAGTAATAAATCTCAACACGGTCTACTTTTATCTTGTGCAGAACCCTTTGAAACTTGAAACATCATCATGGGTTACACAAAAGTATCAAATTACATACAAAAGCTAGTAGTTGGGCACTGTGGATAGCTGGCATACATTGAAAACTTGAAAATAAATTAACCAACATATAAAGAAGTCCTCTCTTCAAGCAGGGCTCTATCGATGAAGCGTGTCCGTACGATGACTTGCAGCAGTAGTCATGTTAGTGCCGGAAAGTGGAGCGGTTGAGCAGTAGTAGCTGTCTTTTTCAACGTTAATAGTAACAGAGCAGGAATGCCCTCCCACGAGGTTCCACAATGTCTGGGAGTGATGCCGTGATTGTAACCAACCCATAAAGTGCTTTCGCAATAGGACAATAAAAATAAACGTTACACTGGGATTAAAAACACAAGTTCAGGCACAACCGCAAATGTACTGAGTCTTTCATTTTTTGAACGGTGTCAAGCGTCCGATATTGTGCCAGAAATTGGAGGTCTTGCGTTTGGGTTCGGCCAACATGATGACCTGCTGCTGGGGCAGGGAGGTGGGAAGCGTTGGGTGCTTCTGACGCAGCAGGAAGTCATAGTAGGGCCTGGTCACAGCTGCGGGGAGGAGGACATAAACAAAAGGTCAGGACCTGAGAGATTTCGGTCATTAGAGAACAGGACACGGATGTAGACATGGGTTTAGCAGACTAGCGTGTTTTGGTCAGTTGGTTATGTGTGTTTGAGCCAGACCAGTTATGGGTATGCTGATATTATTGAATGATATGCTGTAAACCAGTTATGGGTATGCTGATATTATTGAATGATATGCTGTAAATGGGTTTAGTGTGTAAGGCAAGGATGGGTTGCCAGTGAATTACAGAAACTTGATCAGTTACTGTAAATAAAAGCCTGAGGTGTCGATACAGATTTTCTGATTTAATTCCATTTGATCATTCATATGAAAGTGATTCTCACCTCAGCTAATGCTGCACATCTTGTACGTCACAAAAATTCATGCCAGTTATCATACAATAACTGAATCATAAAAAAAAATTTAAATGCTCTGTGAACACTTATAATTGCTTTTCTTATGCACAACCATTATTGTTATATTATTATAATAATTAAAATATAAACTCACATATTTCAGTTATAAAATTCCCATGAAAGAGTGGCGAAAGTTCAATGATTCGTAAAAACGCCCAGCTTATAAGAGCCATTTGATTGTGAATCAGATTACATTGTTCTGCATGTTGATATACTAAAAATAAAAGATTCATTCATGCACATAGTGTAAATAACGAGAGGCAAATGCAGGTCTACACAGAAACCAAACGATAAAGATGCTATGAAGACAAGAAGACGCTGTGCAGTGCCAAGCTGTGGAAAAACAGTCTTTGCATTGCGTGACATATAAAATGTCATTGTACTATAAGAACATCCTGTAAGTTTCAGAACTCTAAACTTTCTCGCTAGTCTAAAAACAGCTTATATTGAAACCAATCTGCCAAAACAACAGCTTGTGGAATGTGCCACTTTATGATGTAATAGTGAGGCTAAACCCCGCCTCCGCAGGAGAAGATTAACACCTGCTTCTACATCACTACCTGTTTAGCCCCGCCCACCGATTCATGCACATAGTGTAAATAACGAGAGGCAAATGCAGGTCTACACAGAAACCAAACGATAAAGATGCTATGAAGACAAGAAGACGCTGTGCAGTGCCAAGCTGTGGAAAAACAGTCTTTGCATTGCCTTCCTTCTGATCCCAACATTAGAA